CATGGCTGGCTGGGGAATTCTGGGAGTTGAAGTCCACTCATCTTAAAGTGGCCAAGTTTGGACAACACTGCCCTAGCGGAAGTAGATGCAGATAGCATCGTTTTCCTGATGGCTTTAAAACCAGTCACATGGGGAATGGACACGCCTTCAAAGATCTGGAAAATCAATCCCTTATGCTGCATTTTCCCCTAGCAGCCAAATGTATCTCTCGGAGCTTTTCGAGCAGAGGAAAATTATTGGGGGTATGACAGATGTAATAGAGATGGAAAACTGAGATTGGAGTCTAGCAGTCCTTGCTCAACTGTAACCTAATTGCAAAGAGCTATCAGATGTCTGGCAACATCCTTATTTAAATTTCATTTTATTTATTGGAACCTACATTCACTCCAGAATTGCCCCTCAAATACTGGGTTTAAAACCTGCCTCTATAAAGTCAGAGTTTGAAAACTGAGGTCCAACAGGGGAGTCACCTATGTACTAATAAGAAGAGTGACTATTACATTTTGGGCACCTAGGGGGAAAATGTTGTTTTTATTTTCCCTAGTGTCACCTACTTAGTAATCCAGATGAGTCAATTAAACTTTAACTAATAGACACAGAAACGCTTATAATAGTTGGCTTTGTCTACTCTCTATTTGAGCATGGAGCAATACTGAAAAAAGATCCAGTGGACTTTTTTTTCTAAGAAAAGTATTTGGAATTGGCCTGAAAAAATCATATAGACACATAAGCATGGCTGTAAGATAGTATAATTCCTCACTTAAAGCATAACTTCTTAACTTTAGACATGAATGTTTAATTTCCCACAATGTAGATTGTTTTCCTAATGTTAAAATAATGATGTTTTCAAGTCCTGATATCCCACAAGGGCCATGCAGTGACTGAACACCAGAGATGACAGCTTTATCTTCACAGTTTTGTCAAGGTGCTGAATTAAGGCAGAAGGAGTCAGGGCTTTTCTCTGAAATGACACAGTTGGCTAAGCTCCTCTCTCCTTTCTGGCATCCATAGCTTAAGCCTGTGGATGCCATGTCACAAGAGTGACAGGTGAAGGAAGGTGGTATGGTGATCTCTCTCATAAAGTATATGAAAACTATTCCTCTTGACATTTGATCCACAGCTTTTAGTTCCCCAGGAAAATGAGCATCCATTTTTACGTTCCTGTGGGCCTATCCCTTTTGGGAGTTATAAAATACTCATCCAGATGGCACCAAATGCTTAAGCAGAAGCCAAGGGTTAAGCCCGTCACAAGCAAAAACACCTAGATGTGCTTACTAAACAGATACTTGGAATGCTGGCTCCATATTCCTCAAGTCCTGGCTAAATGAAGCGTCAGATAACACATTTGGTACAAAGCAAACAGAATGAAGAAGTTAGTCATTCAGACCTAGACATGTTCTGTGGTTACTGCCACATACAGTTAATGCAGTTAACAAGTAGCATCATGCAGTTTCAAGACAGAACTAGCCCAAGATACTTTTGCTGCCTGAAGTGGAGCAGTAAATAATACTCTCCTATCCTTTTAGCCAAGTGCAGATTATCTAAATGCATCCTAATTATTTTAACACATGTGACCCTAGAATATCACAAGCACGTCTCCTATCACTAATAGTATAATAACATGGATGGATGGATGGCAGTTTGCTGATCTTTTGTATTCCATATCTTCCACCAAAGATAGCCTCTTCATTCTATTGATCAAGCTGGCTGTGGAATTATATCAGTACAGACAAAGCAGACCCTGTACTTTATTCTGTCTTGAATCCTATCTTATCCTCAAAAGAATGATGCTCTTTCAGCAGAATTCCACTCATGTCTTGCCATTAGAAGACACAAATGGCATTTTTTCCAGATTCTCCATCTCATAAAATCTGCTCTAGAGAATTTTGAAATCTTTTGGAATTGTGTACATGGCAGCATGGAGATTATAAAGAGGAGATAAAATCAGTAAATTCCTCTTCCTCTAGCACAACATTCTATTTCAAAAACTCTTATTTGGACAGCAGGAGTCCTTTTATTCATAGAAAAATATTCAATCATTATCCAATCAAATGACATAATAGGATTATTGCTATTATTATTATTGTTTTATTATTTTATTTAATTAAATCTGTGTCCTATTTTTCTCTCTGTCCAACACTCAAAAAAACCCTACAGCAATTAAAAAGACAAGTTATAAGACATATGAATAAAATCAAGACAATTAAAATCAAGGTAAATTTAAAATCAGTATCATTAAAATCAAAACTTAGTTCAACTAATTGTTAAAAGGTTGGTGAAAGAGATTGTTGTTGTTTTTTTTCTACATACTGGGAAAATGGGGGCCAAATTAACATTGTTTGGGAATTCATTCCATATCCTAGGCTGGGTTCACAAAGGAGAAGGTCCAGATAAATAAGTTTCTGGCAAAAAGGGCCTTTTCTAAAGTGCTTCTGCTGATCTGAGTAACTGGGCAGGTTCATAGTGAGAGAGGCCATTCCTCATCTTAAATTGTGCCTGGTAGACAACTGGCAACCACTGCAGATCTTTCACATAGAGGCATTATTAGCCTAGCCACTTCATTTTGCACCAACTGCAATTCCCAGATGTTTTTCAAAGGCAGACCCATGTAAAGCATGTTGCAGTAGTTAAGATGGAATATGATCAAGGCATGGATAACCACTGACACATCTGACCAGCTCATGAAGGGTCCAGTTGTCTCACTAACCATAGTTGTACAAACACACTCTTTGCCACAGCTATTACCTGCAAATCCAGTAACCATTGTTGATCAAGAAATCTCTTTATGAGGGAATGCAACCCCATGCCAGATAGGTTTTTCTTCAGTCCCGAAGTCAGCTTTCTTTTTACCAAAGACATCTTTGTCTTGCCTGGGGTTAATTTCAGTTTGTTTTTCCTCATTCAACCCATTATCAAGTTTAAGCAGCTTTCAAGGGTGCTGATTGCTTCCTTGGAATGAGATGGTGGAGGGTAATAGAGATTGGTGTCATCAGCATAGTGATGGTACCCCATTTCAAAACTCCAAATTATCTGTGCCAGTGGGTTTGATGTACAAATGTAAAACAGCATAGGAACAAGATAAGGTCCTGTGGAACACCATAGCTTAACAAAATAGTTGTTGGACAGTAGTCTCCCAGCACCACTTCTGGGTGCATCCCTACAGGAAGGATTGGAATTGCTGCAAAGCAGGGCACCAAAAGCCCAGAAGGATTGAAAAGAATCAAAACCTAATCCAGAGAAAGGGCTCTATAATCCTCTAGATGTTATTGAAGTCATATTCTTCATTAGGATCTCTGTTTATCCTATGTATGAGTTCTGTACTTTCTATAGTTGAACATAAATTGAGCGTATATCCTCAGTGCCCACAATCTCATAATATCTAATCCCATTGAATAGATCTTGCATAATATTAAATTTAAATTTCTCTAAGAAAAAAAGTCTGAATGGTTTATTTACTTATCAGGCTCCCAAGTTTTGCTGTGATGTAATCACACTTATTTGAATATTAATTTAAATCTACTCTATAAGACTTCACGGACAAAATGGTTTATAGTTAATTCAAGTAATGCTTTATATCAAATCTTGTTAAAATTTTAGAAGTAGGCCATAAACCTTTAACAAGGTGTTATGTAGATTATGGACTGAAATTCTGCACATAGATTTTTACCGCATCTCAAGTTTGCCTTTCTCTTAACATAAAGGTTTTAAAACACTTTCTGTCTGATTTTCATAATGTTAAAAGGATGGACTGCTTCAGATTAGTTAGACATTCTTGTAATTTCTTCATTATTTTGGCTAATAATTCTTATTACTGTTTTTGTTAATTTCTGATCTACCTCTATTAATAGTTTTAAAGTGCCATAGTGATATGTGATCAGTTAATATATGACTATATTTTGTTCCAATTTATGCTAATAGTAGAATAACAATGGATTTTTCCCCATTTTTCTTAATATTTTATAAATCTTACCTAATTTCTACCCTTCCTTCCTTCCTTCCTTCCTTCCTTCCTTCCTTCCTTCCTTCCTTCCTTCCTTCCTTCCTTCCTTCCTTCC